CTACTCAAATGGGTGTACTATCACCACTATATATACATATATATGTATCTATCTGAAAAAGTTTTCACAGAAAGCATAAAAACTGATAGCCTATACAGACGACATAGCAATACTAGTAACAGAGTAGTGCCTCTAACCATCACACACCAATGGGCTGGACAACCATCTAGATCACATCAAAAGAAGGACTCATCAGCGGAACTTACTAACCTTACACAGACGGTTCAAAAATGGCTAATGAAGCTGGATCTCAGGTGACCCTTCAATCTTCTGGAATACTTTATTATCTTCCAAGCAGAAGTCTTTGCAATAATATCACATCCTGTTATGTAAGAAAAATGTTCTTAGTGGATGCTTAAGATGTGTATAAGAGACAGGATACACTGTTATGAGTAAAACACGTTCTATAATTTTCATTGAGATAACTCAAATAATGGACGATATATGCAGTATAAAGTCACCCGGAAGTTCGAAAATCTTTGTGTTATTGGTGTAAAAGGGCTCAAGAAAGTATTGATCCGATTCAGCCCATATTTGTTACAAGGAATAATAAATAAGAATGATAAAGAATTCTATGCGAATTTCAATTGTTTATATCACACATTCGATATTTTTGATCAAAAGTCTCTCTAAAATCTGAAAGATCTAAAAGATACTGGGGTCCACATATTCGATAGGTAGGGACTTTAAAAGGGAATCTTGCCGGAAAAGATGTGCTGATAGAATAAGACACGAGAAATAAGAATTCATTCACACGCAGTTTTGAGGACAAGGTTCCTATAACTTACCTAAGTTAGGTAGCTTAACTGAAATTCAAGAAACGAATACTATAAAAGAGTAAAAGACAAAAAAAAGCCTCAAAGTATAGCACATTTCTTGGCATAAGTGGAGCCCTCAACAATGCCTTAAATAACGCAACATCAACTGGAAGCAGCCCGGATAGAGCCTCCCATCATATCGTGGATAAAGGCTCTACTGTGCTGCAGGATGATTTACGAAATATGGAATGAAGTCAGACTGCCTAGATTAGCGCAAGCAGCGACTACTCAAATGGGTRTACTATCACCACTATATATACATATATATGTATCTATCTGAAAAAGTTTTCACAGAAAGCATAAAAACTGATAGCCTATATAGACGACATAGCAATACTAGTAAGAGTAGTGCCTCTAACCATCACAACCATATAGATCACATCAAAAGAAGGTGGATGCGACTCATCAGCGGAACTTACTAACCTTACACAGACGGTTCAAAAATGGCTAATGGAGCTGGATCTCAGGAGACCCTTCTATCTTCTGGAATACTTTATTATCTTCCAAGCAGAAGTCTTTGCAATAATATCACATCCTGTTATGTAAGAAAAATGTTCTTAGTGGATGCTTATTTACACAACCTACTTTTAATTTTATTGTAAATAATTAAATAATTTACAATTAAAGAAATACTTATAAACTTACATATGTATATGCACATATATATTTTTGTAATTTATTCGCCCAAAAGCGGTTTCACAATGATCTCGTGCACCTGCATATGTGGTGGTGTGGAGAGTGTAAACAGAATGCAGCTCGAAACATCCTCCGATTTCAGTATTGGAGTCTTATCGCCCTTAAATACATCTGGCACAATTTCCGTATCCGTTAAGCCGGGGCTAACACTCTGCAAAATAAAAAAATAATAGTGATTAATGAATATATGTAAAATCATATAAGTAGGATATAGCCTGAAAAAAATGAGATAAGGAATGAGTCCGGGCTCCGATGGATTGCCGGACTAGTTGTTCAAATACGGCGGCGAAGACTGATAAGAAGCATGCATCGGCTTCGGCGAAAAAAGGATCGACGCACACTACCCTTTAGTTGATTTTAAACCCGCTTTTAACAGCACGAAAAGCAACTGCCTGTGTGCTCTCTGAATTTGGTATACCCGCAAAACTAATAAGTCAGTGTTAACTGACTTTAAGCAATTCCAAAAGTTTCGTCCTGATCCGAGCCGTACGATAACAAACGAGGCTTCTGCGAAAGCGACTTCCTATCGTACGACTTCTTCAATCTACGCTTGAATAAAAAACTTCGAGATGTAGAACTAAATAGAGAAGAGAATTCGATAAGAGTGTACAGCTGCTAGCGTATGCCGATGATATTGATATCCTTGGTCGCAACTTTCGCGCCGTTAGTTCTGCTATCTCCAGGGCAAGACGAAATATTTACTGTCAGCAAACAAACAGTCGACTCGCATGTCACTGTTGACAGTCATAACTTCGAAGTCGTCGATAATTTCATCTATCTTGGAACCGGTGTTAACACCAACAACAATGTCAGCCTTGAAATCCAACGCATAATAACTCTTGTCAACAACTTTTTTCGGCTTTTAACCGTTTATAACCTTTAAATTAGTACTCGTCGAGTTTATAATCACAGATGCCATGTCGGGGCATTTAGGCCTATCTTATCTACACTTGACAACGAAACCTCATGCGCATAAATATACATAAGCCTATACATCAATATATTATGTATGTATATACATATATTTATTACATATTTATATCTACGTATACATAACTGTTATATAAAACATACTTACAGTAATCTTAATTTTGGTGTTGAGTCCTCTAAATTCCTGACGCAATATCTCGGTGAGGGCAGTTACTGCATACTTTGATGACGGATAAATAGAAAGCCTCGGTGGCTGATTGTTACCGAACGTCATAGGTATACTGTGGCCCAACACGCTATTAACAACAACCACGTGTCCATCAAAATTACGTTCTTTCATCGATTTGAAGGCACGCTGTGTGCAATATACCGTGCCCATTACGTTGATTTGTAAGACTCTTTCCAATTCCACCGGATCCTGAGTGCTAGCCTGGCCAGCGGCGAAAATACCCGCATTATTGATAAGGATATCAACACCTCCCAATTCCTTGATGATCCAATCGAATGCCGTGTCAACGGATTCCTGTGATGACACATCACAAGCGACAGCGTGAAAGCGGTTTTGTTGTTCAGCGGTTAATTGTGCCTTCAGTTCTTCCATGCGCTCCAAGCGCCGCGCCAAACCCACAACAATTAAATTAGCTTTCAACAGATCCTTAACGGTGGCAGCACCTATGCCGGAGCTGGCACCAGTAACGGCTGCAACACGATTTTGCCAACGTTCCATTATATTAATAACACTTAGTTTTGAAGGAGAACACCAACTGTTTGCACAAATGAAGGCTACTGAAAAACTGAACAACTTCTGAAAATCGATTTACTATTTATACAATTAATGGTAGCGTAGCTATTAAGTTATGTTATTGTTATTGTGAAATCACTTTAAGAGAAAAGTTACGCACAAGTGGCTCAGTGAAGTGCGTTGAAGCTCAATCGTCTTGTTTATTAAGTTCATAAGCAAAGAGTTATGTGATGATCTCTCACAACATGTACAATGGACACCAATAACAATACTTAGCTGATATTTAAGTGAAGAGTAAAGCATAATCTCACTTACGTACAATACGAATTTGTTAAAATATTACGTTAAATGGAATCTTCGCTTGATTTTATAGTTCGATATTTATTATTTTCTTGGATACCATTAACCATTGTTTATTGGCGGCTCGACTATAAAGAGAAACAACTGTTGCAGGTTACTCGTATATCCTACGGCCGAAGCTCGAAACGAATTTGGTATTTGGATAGCTATTGTCCTTTATATATTCATAAGTCCTCTTTGCTGTTCGAAAACTCTTACAGTTTTAACCCAATTCAAATCGATCGGAAAGTTGATGTAATGCTGGCTTCAGTATACACCACAAAAAAAAAATAGCGGAGAGAATTTGTCAATTTCATAAATGATTGCAAATAGCGATCTCGGGTTTTCACCTAGATGTGGGCGATACCACCGGCAACCGACTCCTATAAAGCACCATCGCGAGTCTACAATTTATCTCTGGCGCATTTAATTAAAGATTTATCGCAGTTTTAGTAGTTGTTAACAGAACCGTTATATGGAGAGTGGGCGGTATTATAATCTGAATTCATCAATTTTCACAGGATAGGTACGTACATAGGTCTTGTGTCTTATAGTGGAGCGGAACCTAATTATGGCTCTTTATAGGCTTTCGTTTAACGACGTTTTGTRAACGTGTCAGTGGTCAGTGTGAAACTAATTATGTTTGCGGGCAGGAAAAAGCACAGTTTTAAAAAGAGTATTTTCACGACGAAAATAAAATCGTAAAGAAACAATGGTATCTACTTAAATTTTTAATCATTGCAATGAGTGTTTGTTATTGTACTACCTTAATAAATACGACCATCGGCTGTTCCAACAAAAAAGCAAACCGGCATCTTAAAAATTAAAAACTAATTCGTAGTCCCCTATCTGTCGTGGCCTAAATAGGTAAATTTTTCGTCACTTGTAGTCGTGTCTTCACCTTTGGGACTCGGAGGTCAATTGTTACTATTTGTCAGTGACAATCTCGTGGGAACATTTCAGTACCAATGTGGTCGTCAACGTTGTTTTCGGCTGCTATATTTTCTTCATGGTGCCGAGCGTGGGCTATTTGGTCGAATATTATCCATTAACGAATGCTGGGTCTCAAGATGGGTGATGGTGTTGCAAATTGTACGCAGAATAGGCCGATTATATTGACCATAAGTTTAGCGAACCACACGAAATACATTCTTTACGGAACCTGAATCTTCATATTAAAGTTGAACGATTTAACGTTGTCCATGTTGAAATGACAAACAATATTGAATAAAAATAGCTTGACAGCTTGAAACGACTCACGCGTGATCTGTCAAAAAAGGGCTATTGAAAAAATTACCTCTACTTGGATCACCCGTTATTAATTACAATTTATATCGCTAATGTTAGCCTAGCTATTAGGTAGTTCTATGAAATGTTTTCATTTTGTAGTGAAATCATTAAAAGAACTCTTGAAGAGCTCATCGCTGGAGCAAGTTGCTTGTAAAAGCTACTCATATGAGAATACAAAGCACTCAAGAGTAAAGTTGAGTACCAATGGCGAACTTCAGTGTGGTGAATTTCAGGCGTTTTGTTTGTAAACAGAGAGTTAGGTGAGATTATCACATTCACAATAGGTACTATAACAATAGCTAATACTTAAGTGGAGAGTAAAAATTAATTTGTCTTACGGTGCATAAATGAGCGCGATCTGTCAACCAGTTTGTTTAACGCAGCTTATTAAGTATGTATACCTCTATAGTGCGTTGCGATTTTTGCAATGGAAAAAAATATCGAGCAAAGAATTCGTCTCAAATTTTACATTTATAACCAAATTTCGTATGCAGAGTTGTTGCCGATGATGGAAAATGCTTATGGTGATTCAGTTTTATCAATAACACAATCCTACGAGTAGTGCAAAACCTTCAAAGACGGTCGGGAGATCGTTGAAGACATGCCTCGCTCGGGACGACCTTCAATCTCTTCAAGTGATGAAAATATTAAAAGAAAGAAGGATATGGTGCTGGGAAATCATTGGGCAAGTGTTGTTAGAGAGATTGCAAGAGAACTCGACATCTCTCTCGCGAGTCCGTTCGAATCATTTTGGTGGATATTTTGGATATGAAAGGCGTTCTTGCTCGACTAGTCCCAATAAAGCTGAATTTTCTTCAAAAAGTGTACCGCAAACATGTCTCTTTGGAAAGCATTATAAATGCCGCTGAAACATGGGATTATGAGTTTGACATGCACACAAGTGAGCAATCATCGGGATGGAGGGGAAAAAAACACTCACAAAGCCACTTAAAAATCGAGGGGATGCTTATTGGTTTTTTCGATATTCGTGGTTTGGTGCATCATGAATTTATCCCGGAGGAATAGACACTTAATAAAGAGCTCGATTTGGCTGGTATTCACCAGATTTGGCTGTGTGTGATTTTTTCTTGTTCCCTAAACTGAAATTTCGACACCGTGGAATGCATTTTTAGTTGATGGAAGTTTTGTTGGTACAACAGATCGTCGTTCTTAACCGTCCAAGTGAGATCCCTGTTACGTTCGACCTCTGAACTCAACCTAGCCTAATCTACTTAGCGTCATTTCATAGTTCGGAATTGAAAGTTGTGAATTTCACCAAGGTATTTCACTGCTAAGGTATTGATATTCAACAATTTATAATACTCAAATATAATATTTAATTTTTAATATTGACCTTGAAAAATATATTTCAAAAATATGCTAAAAATACTATTATTGTTTACTGTCTTATAAATTTAGCTAAATTTGTGTTTATAAAAATATTTTAATTTAGTATATATTTGTAAACATATATATGTAAATATATAAAAATATCGTTTTTCCTAAAGTAAACAATGGCAATACACTTGTCAACTGTAAAAACCTATAATTTCGACATAATTAATTTTAATACTAACGTATACATAATTTAAATAAAGGAATATATAACATTATATTCACAAAAAAAATTGTTTAAAAAGTTTTGAAGTGATTTTTCACAATTTGTCTATGATTTTATAATTTTTACTTTCTTCAAATCAGAGTTTATGCTCAACAACAATTTTTGCACAGCAAGCCGAAAGTCGTAACTCTAAATAATTAACTTCAGGGGTACTTATAACGGTTTAGAAAAATCACTTTTCCGCTACAACTATAGTTATATTTTTTTTGTCCGAATACAGCGCTGTACTTAGAGCAGTATCCAGTTCATCTTCATTCTCTATCAGCGCCGGCGCTTCGTCATCAATTTGTGGCACTATTTTGTACTGTTCTTCCGCTGATTCTAGTGGCACTTTATTTGTACGCAATGTTTGCATTTCGGCACCCATGGGATTGTCGAAACTCGGTGGTATCAGACGATTTCTAGAATATAAATATGTATATATATATATATATATAAGTGAATATAAAACAATCGAGTTTTCGTAAATAAAGTACGCACTTCGATAACAGCAGCCATATCATCGCTACGAACATCATCACCGACGTTATGCCGAACGTCCAGTATGTGCCATAGCGTGTATAGATCACACCTACAAAAACAGGTCCCAATACGCGCGACAAACAACCCGCACCGGTCATCAGACCCATCCAAACACCTTGCGGTCGTGGTCCCAATACCTTTGAGAAGATCGTTTGTATCAATGTGACACCGATCGGATAACCAATCGAGGTAAAGGCGTAACCGATGATGAATTGTGTTAAAGTCAGTGCTGGCGTTAGCTCACACCATGGCTGTGTTTTGGGACAGCCGAGAAATACGATATCATTCGGATCGAGATCTATTGTAGCATTGCCCGTCAGCGGTAATGTTTCATTGTAAACTTCAGCAATAACRGGTGGTCCATCGCCCCAAGGTATATACAGCACACGGCCGAGTACCATTAACGAGAAGCCACCCCATATGAGCACATAATGTTCGGGAAAAACTTTACAAAGCGGATTGATGGCAACAAATGTGGCTAGTGCCACAATAGCACCCACTGACATCAGTATGCCCATGTAGTAGAGCGCTTCATGATTGCTCCATGCAAACTGGTCCATGGTAAGTGAAGTGCCGAGTCTGAAAKAGAAGAGGATTTTTAATTTAAGGGATTAAAGATTGCATTGGATATTCGGTGGAGAGCATTTTTCTTCGACAGCGGTGAAGAGGTGCAACTTTCAAAGGCTGGAATAAGGTATTAGGAGTGTGGAGRTCTTAATTATTCGAAAGCGAAGTAGAGCTAAAGCTTTTCAAAGGCTAGATTAAGGATTTTTTTGTTTTTATGTAAGAACACTCAAGAATTGCCGTTGTCTTCCGACGAACCTTTCTCTCGAAAGCTCGTAACGCCGACTCATCAGATGTTGTCATCGTCATTCCTCTGCACTCGGCTCTCATTGAGAGAGGACTTCACTTCTCAACTGCCTACTCAGTCCGAAGTAGCATCTGTTGGCAAGAGTTATTCTAAGTTGGATTTCGAATCTGACGTGTTGTTGGTGCWAATACTGRTTCCAAGTTAGACGAAATTAGCAGTCAAACTACTTATAGTGTTATTCYTTGAGTTTCTTYCTCCAACGTTATGCAATAAACRAAACGTTCCACTTGATAAGCTACGCATATGACTTACGAGCACGCAGTACTTACGTTTCAAGTAACACAAAGTTGAAGACCAACACGAAGAATGCCAYAATTAAAGTCCACGCTGACACATAGTCCGGTTTAATGGCCTTCCACGTTTCGCGCTCCGAGCTTTTACCCTGTTTTATCATTA